CATTTCTGCGCGGATCATCGATTGTTCTTATCTAGCACCAACTTTCGACACAGCTCTCGTCGAACGGCTACTTGATGCTCTAGTTCAACGGGAACGTTTACCCGAATTGACCACAGCCGTAACTACCGTTGGTGTGGTTCAGTACAAAATTGCAGGTCCTATTGGACCACATGCGTTAAGTCGAACCATGCACTAGTTCTGTTACGCTTTACTCCTCGACTCATCGGTCATCGGCAGAAATCGCCTCCTCAGTTAGCTCATCATCGTCTGCGCTATCAGAACCGCGGTTGATCATTCCATATGCTGAGATAATGGACAAACACTTTTTGATGTTGTTTCCCTTCTGGACGCTGATTGAACCCCGGAGGCGCGTCGCACATAAACGACTGTTGACAAGGATCCTTTTAATAAGCGATATGGAGTATACAATCCTGTCTATTGGAAACCAATCTGGATGAGGATCTGCACCTATTTGGCACCCTTTTGCTGATCATCGGCGGCGATGCCCATAGAGCTAACCTTTCTTCCAACAGGCGATAGTCGCGCAAGAGTTGGAAAATTTTCTGGACAGGATTACGATTTACGTGTTGGTTTTTCCTTTCAACCTCCTTTCCTGATCTAGTGTCCTGTTCTGTAGCCGCGTAATAGTTCTACGTGTTTACTGCCGCCCCGTGAACGTCACTTTTTATGTGAACTTTTCCTGGGCTGCATCTTACTAGTAGATAAATCGACCTTATGGATTACAATAAATCACAGTTCTCGAAAATAGAATTACAAACGATGATATGCCTTTGTGTTTGAGGTTACGTCTTTATCCGATTCACATCTAAGTGCAACCGGCAATGCAGCGAAAAGCCAGTGATCAACAGCTTAGGTTTGTTCACCTCCTCCTCATCATACAGCGAAATACAGTGAAGCGAACTTCGCTGATCGCTGCCAAACTCGCAATGCATACAAGGTTATTGGTACAATTTAAGGTGGACAGGGATTAGATCTATTTTGAGGGGGATGAAGGTGAACCTCTATGGTCAACACACAGTGCGCAATCGAACTCTGCATAAATACCGTTGCAAGCATTCTGCCCTGATAAGAAACAACAAGAACGCCATGGCTGTCCGTTCGCTGCCATATCCTTTAATGTCTCCAACCAACCAGTTGCAGAGTCTTCCGGACCCCAACCTGGAAGGTGAGAGACACCTAATCTACCTAATGGCTCTGTGCATTTCTTCATGCTTCGTCTCCACGTCATCTGTTGACCTCTACGTGGTTTCCTCCAGCCCGGATTAGCCACAGCGAATAAAGCGCGGTGCGACGGACGATGGATGGGCATACGCAGTACGTGTCCTAACCAACGAAGCCTGGTAATCGGAATTCGGTGTGCTAGCAGGTTTGTACCTGACCGACTCCCAAACACACGACGGCTTACCTCCACGTTACTAACCCGTTCGCTCCGTCCAACGTGGGTTAAACTGCGTAAACACCGATAATCAAAAACCTCTAGTCGACGGATATCCTCCACTCTCAAATTCAAGGTCTCACAACCATAAAGCAGGACTGAACGAACGCTAGCATAATATATACGACCTTTCAACTTCAGTGAAACGTCGCTTCTGCGCCAAAGGTGTTTCAGTCCTGCGTATGCTGCTCGAGCCTTAGAAATGCGGGCGGTTATCCTCTTTGCTGCGCTACCGTCATTGGTCACGTAACTACCTAAGTAGGAAAAGTAATCCACCACAACTAAATCCTGGCCATTTAGTGTCAAAGCGGGAGTAGACGAAACCCAGTCCTGCAGCATCACTTTGTACTTTGAAGATGCAAAGCACATACCGAATGGGGCTACTGCACTTGTTAGTCTACCAAGTGCGTTTTGCGCATCCCCCATACATTCGAACAGACAAACGATGTCATCGGCGTACTCCAAATCGCACAGCTTTTCTCCAGTTGTCCATTCAATACCTACGTTTTGGAGTCCCCTTAATGCGCTCTCCAGTATTTCGTCTACGACGAAATAGAGTAGGAACGGCGAAAAAGGGCATCCTTGAGGAACGCCGCTGCTGGTGACGAACAACCTACTTAGTTCGTTGTAGACCCTTACACGACCGGAGGTATGTAAGTACAGTGACCTCAGTAGGTTAACGTACTTCTGGGGCATTCCTTTTCGAAGGAGGGAGCCGATCAGAGCTTCGCGGTCAATTGAGTCGAAGGCTTCTTTCAGGTCAAGGAACACTGCAATCGTTGGCCGACAGTGAGTATGACGCAACTCAAGGATCTGACACAACCTAAAAATCTGATCAATACATCCACGGCCAGGCCGAAATCCGGCTTGCTGTTCACGGATGTTGGTCTCTCTTAAAGGCGTCAGACGTCAAAGTATAACCGAAGCTAGCACTTTGGTGACGATCGGGATCAAACGTATCCCGCGGTGGTTTTTGCAATCGTTACGGGATCCTTTCTTGAAAATGGGAACGATCAGTGATTCGCCCCAAGATGAAGGAATGTGCCCTTGCATCCAAGTGTTGCGCAGTAGTAGGGTAGTAATAGAGGTTACGAGGTTATCACCTCCCGTCTTGAAAAGAGTGGGAGGGAGCTCATCAGGTTCTGCTGCCTTTCCTCGCTTCAGAGCTTGAATGCAAGACCGAACTTGTGCTTCCGTTGGAGGATCGCATGACACTACCCACGGAGCTTCAGTCGGAGATGAAGCATCCTGGTTAGCTCTAGGCCAGCTGAACTGTTCACTGAAGTATTCTGCCCAGCGATTGAGTCGTTGATCCCTATTGTGAATAGTTCGTCCCCTCTTATCACAGACTGTTTCACTACCTGGGGTTCGCCGATCTCCCGTATTGCGTATCAGTCGGAACAGTCTTTGACTATTCCCTGATGCAGCTGCTATTTCCATTTCACTAACTATTGTTGCCCACCAGTTCTCACAGTCCTTGAGGCTCTTCGTGAGCCGACGTAGCTGCCGCCTAACTTTATTTTGATCCCGGCAGGTTGGGACTTGCCGTGTTTGCTCCATCAGGGCTACTGACTCCTGAGATATCCAATGCCTCCGACAGGTTGGAGGCTCAGACTCACAAACAACATTCGCTGCGGAATGCATTGCTCGCCTAATCTGATCCCACTGCTCGTCTACATCGCCA